AAATGAAGTTCTTGTTTAGTGTTAGGTTCTATCTCCAAGACATCTCCTAATGTATGCATATGCAAACACAAGTGTTCCAAAATATATAAAAAACCACCTGAAATCCAATACACTTCTGGTCCCAAACACTTTAGATAAGAAATACCCAAGCTATATTTGGCTTATATACACATACCTTTCTCCTACTTTCTTTCTGGCAATCCTGTTCATTCCTTATTTGGAAGCAGGATAGTAGTATATGACTGGCACTGGGTCTGTGCATACAAGGCTACATTTTTTTTAATCAACTTAAAATGCCTTAACAAATTTTCTGTATTTCTATGAGAATAAAAAACTATTATTTCACTAGTTTTTGTAGTCTAGCGAGTGTTCAAAGTATCAGCATTTCTCATACTTAGAAAATAAAGACAACGGATAGCCATGAAAAGCTATTAACATCTGCTCAAAATCTGTAGTTTTCTTCTTTCTCCTCCAGCCGTTATTCGAGATAGCATTCATTTGTATAATTCCTTAAAGCACTAAGTGTTTAAGAGTATTCCATTTTACACAATATCTCATTTATATAATTAGTGCTAACATATGGCTCACCATCAGTGTGGGAAATCTAGAATAATTTTTGGCAAGATGTCAGACCTAAAGGGGTATCGTTTCAAACTGCTGCAGAAGGGAATTAACTAAGGAAATAGGAAAGGAAGAATGAAAATGTACCCCAAAGCTGTAGCTATTATCACATGAAGTGCAGGAAAAAAAACTTCACAATTTACAAAACAAGACAGGAAACTTGAACACAACATGTTTTTATTGCTTTAAAAAATCTTAGGGAAAAGGTAGAAAATGGGGCAATTCAAACACTAAACTACAATTTAGTATCAGAAACCACAGTTTTATCCAAGCTTGTTTGACTCAAACATAATTTATATTATCTTACAATTCATTTAAGTTTACTAAAGTTTTAGATGCAACAAAAGACTCCTCTAATGTTGTCCCTGTGGCCTGAGAAAAAAGTTTTTTTAAAAAAAAATTGTTTTAATTTCAGTATGTGAACCAGTGATTTGATTTCTTCTCCATTAAACATAATTTTACTGTCACTTGCATGCATCTTTATATATAAGATAACAAGTTTGTTCAAAGTCTCTGTGCAATAAAATAACCCGAATCAATGCCATAATAAAATAACCTGGGGGAAAATATCATATCAACAACATATACATGTGTGAAAATTTGACAGTTGTAAAAAGAAATTGAATGTGTTAGCTTGCAACATGGAAAACTGTTACACGCTTTTACCTTTCAGTATAGAAGAGCCTCAAGCATCAGAAAAAGGAAAAACACAGTACAAAGGATGATATGAGTTAAACTGGAAACGTGGTCAGAATACTATCTAGCACAGTCCTCCCTCAATGGCTTTGATCCATTCGGCACACCGACTTCTGTAGAAATATGGGGCTGATTTATTATTTTCAGTGCCACATACTGTCCTTCTCATAAAGTAATCTGGAAATTAAACTACTTGAGAAAAGCAAATGGATGTTGCTAACCACTGCAGCATGCTTTGTAGTACGATCCTGGTGTGAGTGTATAGTTGTAGTCATATCAAGATCAACTCCACATCAAAAGAATAATTGGACATCAAATCCTAGTAAGGATGAGATTTACAGTATCACCCCATATATGTCTATGCAGGCTTAATCGCCATTTAACTCAATGTAGCATTTTCCCAGATAAGCAGGCACAGGACTACACTTCAATGTGTTTTTCTGCAGCTGTCCTTAAAAGTAGCACAGTGGTTGTTCCACCTTACCCCAACTCTTCATCACACCAGTATATTTCTTGTTTAAGTCTGGCATAGGGGCTAGATTTAGTTCTTCTGGCATTCCCCAGAAGGCAACAACCCCTCCCCTTCACACAAACCTTTGATGTTTTCTCAGCTTTCATAACGATCGTAAACGGGTAGAAATACAGTACAACCCCCACCATTCACGAGGGCTACATTATAAGACAATATGCAAAACTGAGGATAATAACGAACTCCATTGAAATGAAGGACTTCTGGAACAAGAATATTACAGAGTCATGCTACAGGGCCAAAAAATCGCTAGAGTATATATTTTATTAGATGTGAATACTGGTCTTGTGGATACAAGATGATGCATTGTACCTTTAGCCATATAATTGGCAGTAGGAAATGTAATGTAAAGTATGATAGTAGTTTTGGCCCTATACTTTTTGCCTCTCATCACTAGAATGTAATCCTAAGAACTTACATGTAACTGAATAAAGTTCTCAGATGGAAAGTAGTTCTTTATTCCTACCTGGCTTATGGCATGGGGTGGATATTCAATCTTTCTGGTTTATTGTCTGTCTTTCCCTTCTGCCACTCTGAGCTGGCCCCGTTTGATGGGGATGACTACCGTTCCCAATGCCAGTGTAATTCCCTCAACTGCTGGCTAACTTTCTGTCTTCTATATCTAGTATCATTTCTAATCATGGCTGTTCACTAGTCATTTGTGTTATCTAAGCTGCTTGTTCTTATTTTCTGTCCTTTACTCCTGTCCTTGAGTGAATGACAACCACTCTTATAAAGTAGTGAAAGCTAGAATTGCCTTTCACATTTAATGTGCATTGGCTTGAAAACTGAGCTCCTATGAGAATGTTTATATATTTGTGTGTCGCTCCCCTCACATCATTTTAAAATAAACCCCACTGGATGATCCTGAGAAAGTTCTATTTTTTCAGGCTGGAACTACACTGCTCTATATCCCAGGATCTGATCCAAGGGTATCTGCTTTGAACTGGATTATATGAGTCTATATTGCCAGATAAACTGGGATAAGCAGATCATCTGGTGTCAGATCCTGGGAAACATGGACATGTAGATCCTGCCTCAGTCACAAAGGAAGGGAAATAAGAACCTTCTCTGAACAAATTGTGACAAGAAAACCTAATCAGTCTCTGTAAGTCAGAATCAACAAGAAGGCACCAAGTAATGATAATATAAAAGGCTGTGATGTGACTTATACATGTGTCTTTAACAGATGTATTGTATATGTATCCTTGACCATCATAATTCAATGGATTGTAGAGAATCATAGTTTCTGAAAAACTTTCTCACCAAGTTAATCATCTTTTAGATTTTAGGAAAGGGCTTCATATTACAGCCCTTACGACATGATTGCTAGAACAAAAATGGATATTTCCAATTCATTTACTGACCTATCCTCACTAATAAAGGATTAAAACACGGGTGTCTTCTGGCCCCCTTATCTTCCCATTTATGCCTAAAACCATAGTCCCAGATGTGAGTGGCCTAGAACCTTTCCACTCTCAAGGAGCTTCTAGAGAGAGCTAAACCCCTCATGGAAACTAGTTAAAATAACCCACTTCTGTGTGGGTTCTGGTCCCCACCCCCAACCCAAACGTTGGGCTTTCAAATAGGGATGGCATGAAGCCATCCCAAGCTCCCGATTTTGTCCCTGAAACTTACCCAAAAGGGGCTGTCAACCACAGAACCTTTCTGTAGCTTCAATCTGGCTGGAAGAAATGGCAACACAGGATATAGGAAGAGGAATGAGTTGCCATTTCCACTGAGTCGCCATTTCCTCAACTCAGGGCGGCCCTCCGGAGAGTCTCCATGGCTGCCAGCCAGTACTTAAATTTCTGGCGTTGTTCAATCTAATAAACTATTGAAAATAATAATATCTTTTCCAAGCACCAGCAACTGTGTTTTAAAATATGTAATATTCAGTTTTTCTTTAGAACAAATTGTACTGAATTTAAAGAGCAGCCTCCTCAGACCTATGCAACTAACTGAAACGAAAACCATGTCATCAGCATCTGAGACTCATGCCATCTCAAAGCAGCAACATGTTTGATGTTGCTGTTTTGAGATGGCATGAGTCTCAGATAGTTAAATTGAAGGCTCTCCAGAATACAATTCTCAATAAACTTTTAATTTTTCCATCTGGCACCACTGCAGCTTTGGTTCAGGCAGAGGTCATTTTCTTTCCATTAGATCTTGCTTTAATTTGATTTATTTAATATTGAAAATTTTTAAGAGATTTCTCAGGGTTCCCAAGTTATGTTTTGAACAGTTACTGAACTGCAAAGTTTGGAGTTTAACATATAATAAGTTGCAGCTCTGCATGACATTTTTTAAATTGCTGAACACAAAAGAGAAACTCTGTGAGTGCATTTTTATCTATAGTACTCATCTGGAAAGCTGGTCTGTCATTTTTTCCCCCCAAAATGATATAGACTCTATAAATTCTGGTCATCAAATAGCTGTTTACTTTGCAAAGCTTAATTTCCAAAATTTAGACATATTTGCCCAATATGATCAATGGCAGATATTTTCATACTCCTTTACCCCTCCATGTATGTATTTGTAGGGTACCCCACTTTTTGTTATTTTGTTATTTATACCCTGAACCAAGACTTAGATTTCTTGTATCTATTCTATCTTGCCTATATTCTTAACATCAGCCCCCAAAACATTTTGTCTCTTTTCTGATGCTGATTCTGTGATAACTCACAAAGTGCTTCTTTTTGTCCTGGAAGCAATGAAAATTTAGCCAAGATTTATTGGTGGTATTGCAGCTCATTATTTTGGGGATTTGCTTATCTAATTGTATTTTAAAATGTTTTTTAATCTCTTTGAATTTTTAAATATTTTAGATCTTTATTCTCTTTATTCCATATTGTAACTAGTGGTACGCCAAGTGAGCCCTGCGCTACTACAGAGAGTGGTTGACAGTTAGTTGAGAAATTAACTCCTAGGCCAGTGGTAACCTATACCATGGTTATAGGTTATGGGAAGATGTGGGTGTCATATAAGCTCACAATCTCATCACCTAAGATCTTTTCTCTGCATCCTTGAGCAATGAAGAAACAAGGTGAACAACTCAGTATTGGCTGTGGTATGTAGGCCTTCCTAACTGGAAAACTAATATTCAGCTCTTGAGGTTAATCTTATCCTTCTAAAAAAACTCTCTTGATCCTACCTTTGGGAGGGGGCTGTTTTAGCCACGGTTTATATCCTCTGTTCTGTTTCATCACTGTACTTCTGAACCTCCACTCTCCTTCGTGTTACCATAAGCAAGCAAGACTCATGTGGTAAAGATGATGGTATTATGATCCTATGCCGACAGTCAGATTTGTTATTTCCAATGTCCTGAAACTCAATTTAGAGTGGAAACAACATTTTAATACCAGTTATATGGATTATCCTAACAAATTATAAATCACTTTAACTATCAGACGTTTTCACAGCTGCTTTCCAATGTCTCCTGGAAAACTGCTAAAAAGGAATATTGCAAAATTGGCATTTGGCTTTATATCTAGCCACACACATGATACAAACAATTTTATATTTAAGGATTAAATGGTTGTGAGTTTTATTTTAAAATAGCAAAACAATCCATGGAACTAAGATGGTCAAGGATACATATATAAGACATATGTCAAGGACACATATACAAGTCACATCACATCCTTTTAGATTATCGTTATTTGGTGCCTTCATGTTTTTTCTGACTTATGGTGACTGATGAGGCTTCAAAGAAACTGCAGTTGAATTATGACTCAAATGTAATACACAATTATGACTCAAATGCAATACATCTTAACCAAATGAGCACCACTGGGTTCAGCTCCCTCTGCTGTTGCCTGGGTGATTTTACACAGTGCTGTGTTTTTAATATTGGTTTATTGACTTCTTTTCTTGTTAGCTGCCTTTAGCTCTCCAGAAGAAAGGCACAATATAATTGTTTCAAGATAGGCAAACTAAGATAGCCATTTTACTCTCTATAGTCAGAACAAAGAACCTTACATTTCTTTAAGGATGGACTAATCTGAGTCCCCTTTGGGGTGAGAAGGGCAGCATATAAATGTCGTAAATAAATAATCTATTGTAACTCGTAACTCTTCTGTATGGGTCCCACTTCATTAGGTGTTGAATGCTATTCATTCAGGATTTTAAAGCAGAAAAATACACTGGGATTTCTTTTACAGGTGATGAAGGACACCTATAAGACTGCATGATAATATTTATTAATAAGCTGCCACCCCAAAATAGAATAAAGTATCTAATGTTGTTCCTCTCTGTAGATTCTTCTGGTAATATTTGTTGTCATTGCTGTGTGCAAAAGTAAACAAAAGGAAAAAGTAGCAAATATTGTTCTTGGCAGAATCTGTTAAGAGGGGTGCACCCAGTAGCTTTTCATGGCTGAGCAGGGATTCAACCCTGATCTCCAAGTGTTCTAGCCCAACACTGAAATAGCTACAGCACCCTGATACTCTCACTTTTTCTCTGCCTGAGTTTAGGATTTCTGGGGTGTTCTATTTTGATTAAAAAATTAAAGAGACAAGTCTCCCAAAGCCCGAACTAGAGTATAATCCAAATTCTATTCAAAACATTAAGCTTAGCTCTCATCAATAAAGGCAATCAAAGATGGGGGATAAGGTCCTGAACAATGTCCTACACTTCCCCCCTTATCACAACTGAGGGGAAACTGTTCACTTTTGCTGCCTGCCACCAACTAAATCAAATACCCATTTAGGTTGAGGACCTCCATGCACAACAAATCTTCTGTGATAATCTTTTGGGACCTGTGGCCTTCCAGAAGCTGTTGGGTCCTACTATCGGGTCCAGTCAATATGGCCAACATTCAGAGATAAAAGCAGTTAAAGTCCAACAAGCTCTAAATATCCAGATTTCCCACCTCTGTTCTACACACAACACAAATCATATTTAGGTCACATGTTAATAAGTTATGTTGGCTTCACTCTCATATCCAAGTAACCCAAAGAGCAAGCATTACCTCCTTTCATATTTCAGCTACTCATTTCATTAGATGCAAATTCATTTTGAACTATTCAGAACGTTCTTTTGTATACAAAACCATTTATGACTAAGAAGTTGCTCAACTGGATTAGAAATTACGTATTATTAGAACATTACATTAAGATTCCTTTTCATTCTCTCAGTGGTTTTCCATAACATTCCCTTAATTCCCCTGCTCCCATCCTCACCAGTAATTCCTCCTGGTTTACTTCCGCTATGTTGACTTCATTCTAAATTAATCAGAATAAACCCCTATGGGAAAATTTTCTAAGTAGACTGTTTCAAATGGCAATTGCTGTCTTAAGCAAAATACATAAATAGTGGGGACTGATCTCCACAGACAGAAATGACGAAGTTAATCAAGGAAAAGGGAAATTAATTTTGTCTTCTAGTAACTTTGCCAGCAGACTGAACTTTGAAGTATTGTAGCTATAGAGATAATGAGGATACATTTGTTCCCATAATGTTAGAATCTGCATAACTTTTAATTTCATAGTACTCTCATCTTGAATTCCCACTTATGCTTCAGCATTGTCAGTCATTGCTTGTAAAAATCTCAATAAAACGGATAATTAAAAAAAGAAGAAACTTTTTAGTAAGTAAATTGGTATTACATTTGTTCAAGTCAGAGAGCACAGAATATTTTTAACTTTCCATCACACTCTTTAAATAATAATCCTATCTATTAATTCCTAAATTACACATACAATATTCAAGTACTAGTGATTCCATTCAAAAAGGAGAAAACTGCATACATGTTATCCTAGATCTGTTTAATAAATTAAGCTGGTTCTGACATAACACAAGTATGTGTCTCAGATTAATGTGCTATCGTCCTTCTTTCTTCTATTCCAACATGACTACAGAGAAATCAGATTTGAATGATTGGCAATAGTGTATCATTACATCTAAATCCAAAACTGTAGTTATCCATAACAACAGGGCACATCTACAGTGACCACTTAATATGGATTGATGATACTGTATCTTAAAAACACAATGTTTTAATGACAAACAGCCCAAATGTGTGCAGCAACATGAATCAAAGACTTTAAACCAGGATAACCAAAATCAGGGGCTATTGTGAAATGGAGCCCATAATGCACATTAGCATACTTAGGTATAAACTTCGTTGCAAAGCAAAACCAATTAAAGGGATAGGCACTATGCAATCTACACATGCACATCGCAGCAGGGAAAACTGAAAAAAAAGCACGATTCCTCCATAGCAGTAAATCTGCAGAATACTATGCAGAATACTATGGATCCTAGAACTGGATCAAAGTCAATCTATGCCGTGCATATAAGCACCGTCCAAACTTTGATCTGGTTCCAGGACCCTCCATGTAATCAGCTTTACATTTAAATTGTTTCCTCCTCAACTGGCTTAACTCCACCTTATGTGGACAGCGTAGATGTGCCTATAGTTTAAAAAGATAAACAAAAGGCTCAAATCATGATTTGTAATTGACTTCTCTTCACAAGGTATCATTAGGGTTAACCACAATTTGTCCAGATATGAACATAACATTAAACTGGGATTAATCCAGTGGCAGCACTGAAGAAGGGAAGGGAAGTGGGTAAACCAACTAGACTAACACTCATTGGTGCATTGCAACCATGGAAGGCCATTGTGTCTAAATACCAATGTGTGGACAGAGGCAACCCTATGCTCCCAGTAGATCGAGCTTTTTTTAAGTTAAGCAAACGTTACAGCTCAGTTGTGTTGCATTTGGAGCAGCCTGTAAAGGCTCTGAGCCTAAGCCTTAGAGAGGGAGGTCACATGCAGCTCTAAAGCACAGTAGCAACTGGAACCCGCCACTCACTCCTCCAAATGTTTTACCTCTACACATTTCCTTTCTGTATCCATCAAAGTTACCAAACTAACTTGTGACAAAGGGGGACATCCAATAAATACAGTCAGGATGCTGAAAGTGCTGTCCTCAGCTGAAAACGTGGTCTGGCAAGGTTGCTGAACTCAGATTAGAGAAGTGGTGAGCGGGGATGAAATGTAAAGGGGTATCGGACCTGTATTCAGGGAGGTTGGAATCTTGGGCTATGGTTTATGTTAAAATTAGCATTATATTGGGCATTTTAGAGGGAGGTGGTGGTAAAAAAGAAGGGGCTCAGATCTTGCCTCTACCACTCTACCTTTCTCTTTGCCTCTGTCGTCACCTTCTCATCCAGCGGCAAAACCGCCAACTCTACACCATTCACGCTGTTTTTCCTTTGTCTTTGCCCCTGGGTTGTCTCTGTCCTCTTCACCAACTCCCCGCCATTTATTTCTATCACTTGTGAGGGATAAACGTAGCTTCACCATGAAGTTATTGTGGGTCTTCATAGTAAAGTTAAGTTTCTCCCTCTCAAATGACGGAAATAAATGGGGCAGACTTGATGTTGCATTTTTTCCCTCTGGAGGAGAAGGAGATGACAGAGGCAATCCAGAGGTTTAGCCTATTTAATTTGGCCCCTCACTACTACCAAGTTGTGCAGGCCTCTCCTTGAGCCTGCATGTGTTTTGCCTGTATAATTTTTTTGACTACGTGCAGGCTCTAGGCTGTAACAAAACTTAGTTATGACATTTTCTTACCTTTATGTATGCACCCATTTATTATTTCTTTTATCATAAAATATATGTCTGTGTAATTTTTAAATTTTATTTTAAAATAGCAAATTACATGGGCATATGTTTTTGGTGAAAGAAAAAATAAATGGATGCATACATAAGTACTTTATATTCAGCCTTCACTTCACTGAGTTGCGACCTTTTGTAAAGGCACTCAAGACTTGGCTGTTTGGTTGTGCATTTAAGTAATCAGATCTAATTTGCCAAATAGTCACTGTTGAATGTTTTTATGTTGAATGTTTTTATATTGTGTAAATGCTATTTTAGACTGTCAGTCGCTCGGAGCACCTTGGTGGAGAGCGACTAATTAAGAAATAAAGTGAAGTGAAATGAGTTTAAGGGGACAAAGCTCTCCCTCTCCCCTTTTATCATCACAAGTCCCCTATGAGGTAGGACAAACTGAATGACCAATAATAATAATACATTTTATTTCTTACCCGCCTTTCCTGATGGCTCAAGGCTTAATACAACAAATTCAAAACAAATGAATAAAAACATAAAATAAATTACTAAATATAAACACACATAGAGAGACAAGATAGATAGCTAGATAGATATTAATATAAATATGAGAAAACTTACACCAAACACAGCTACAGAACTGACACAGTAGTAATAGAATGCAAATCAAAACTGGGAAGGCCTGTCGGAAAAGATGGGTCTTCATTGGCATTTTAAATTACAGCGCCTTGTTCAGCTGTCAGAGCTC